AGGACATGTGCAAGGACCTTACCAGATACCTGTGGGGGCAGGAGCAGGTGAGCAGGAAGGATAAACCAAGAAGCATAGGGGCCATAACGAGGGAAGGGACTGAAGGAAGGAAACACTCCACGGGAAGGAACTAAAAACACATCAGAGGATGCAATGGGAGTCACAGTGGGAGGTGGAAAGGGAGAGATCCGTGTTTGTCTATGGGCTAGACGAAGCTAAAGGGGAAACTTATGATGAAAGAAAGCAGGAGAAAAAAGCGATTGAAGACATCATGAAGGTGATAGGCGAGGGGGACATGACCCAGGTGGCAAATTTTCGGAGAATTGGGTGGTTCACAAAGAAAAGGAATCGGCCTCTCAAAGTAATTTTCAAGGCAGAATCAACCCGAACCATGATCCTGCAGGAGAAAGCACGGCTGAGAGGCAAGCAGGAGTTCCGGAGTGTGTACCTCGACCGAGACAGAACACAGGACGAAAGGAAGACAATGAAAGAGAGAGTTCAAAAACGAAAGGAGAAATGGGAGGAAATGAAAAAGGAGAGCAGAATAACCAGGATCAAATGGAAGGACAAGCACACCCCCCAGAAACACCTGCAGAAGGACTCCAGCCACGACACCCCCAAGGCAACTGAACAATCCAAACCAACCATCACACACCGATCCCTCTGTTTCCACCCCCGCACCACAGTTACAGTATTAGAACGGAAGTTGAAGGTTTGGCACACAAATGCAGATGGATTAACGATAATAAACATGAGGAATGGCAAGAAAGAATCAATGAGAAGTTCCCAGACATCATAGCAGTTACAGAACAAAACTCATGGAGACAATAACAGATGCAATCTTCCCACCAGGATACCAGATCATGAGGAAAGATAGAAGGGGCAGGGGGGGAGGTGGGGTTGCTCTGCTCGTAAAAAAACAGATGGAAATTCGAGAAAATGGAAGGAATAGATGAGACGGGAGAAAGAGACTACATAGCAGGTACACTTCAGTCTGGGGAACACAAAGTGGTCATTGCAGTGATGTATAATCCACCACAGAACTGCAGGAGGCCAAGAGAGGAATATGAAGAGAGCAACAGAGCAATGGTGGACACACTTGCTGAGGTGGCAAGAAGAGCTCACTCCAGCAGAGCAAAGTTGCTGGTTATGGGGATTTCAACCACAGGGAGATTGACTGGGAAAACCTGGAGCCACATGGGGGTCCCGAAACATGGAGAGCCAGGATGTTGGACGTGGTGCTGGAAAACCTCATGCACCAACATGTTAAGGACACTACCAGAGTGAGAGGGGAGGATGAACCAGCAAGATTGGACCTTGTGTTCACCCTGGGCAGCTCAGACATTGAGGACATCAAGTATGAGAGTCCCCTAGGAGTTAGCGACCACGTGGTTCTGTGCTTTGAATACATAGTAGAGCTGCAAGTGGAGAGAATAACAGTAGTAGAATGGGAAAAGCCTGACTATAAAAGAGGGGACTACATAGGGTTGAAGAACTTCCTGCGGGAGGTCCAGTGGGACAGAGAACTGACAGGAAAGCCAGTAAATGAAATGATGGAATATGTAGCAACAAAATGCAAGGAGGCAGTGGAAAGGTTCATTCTCAAGGGCAACAGTAACAACGGGAAGACCAGAACAAGCCCCTGGTTTACCCGACGGTGTAAGGAGGCAAAAACAAAGTGCAATAGAAAATGGAAAAAGTACAGAAGGCAGAGAACACACGAAAATAGGGAGATCAGTCGCAGAGCCAGGAATGAGTACGCACAGGTAAGGAGGGAGGCCCAGCGACAGTATGAAAATGACATAGCATCGAGAATCAAGACTGACCCGAAACTGTTGTATAGCCACATCAGGAGGAAGACAACAGTCAAAGACCAGGTGATCAGATTAAGGACAGAAGGTGGAGAACTCACAAGAAATGATCAGGAGGTATGTGAGGAGCTGAACAGGAGATTTAAGGAAGTTTTTACAGTAGAGACAGCACAGAAGGGAACATCAAGAGGGAATATACCAACAAGTGTTGGATGACATACGAACAACTGAGGAGGAGGTGAAGAAGCCCTTAAGTGACCCTTGACACCTCAAAGGCGATGGGACCGGACAACATCTCCCCATGGGTCCTTAGAGAAGGAGCAGAGATGCTGTGTGTGCCTCTAACCACAATCTTCAACACATCCCTTGAACCTGGGCAACTACCTGAGAAATGGAAGACAGCTAATGTAGTCCCCATATTTAAGAAAGGAAACAAAAACGAGGCACTAAACTAAGACCTGTGTCTCTGACATATATTGTGTGCAAAGTCATGGAGAAGATTATCAGGAGGAGAGTGGTCGAACACCTGGAAAGGAACAAGATTATAAATGAAAACCAGCAATGGGTTCATGGAAGGAAAAATCTTGTATCACAAACCTCCTGGAGTTTTTATGACAAGGTAACAGAAATAAGACACGAGAGAGAGGGTTTGGGTAGATTGCGTTTTCCTAGACTGCAGGAAGGCCTTTGACACAGTTCCCCACAAGAGATTAGTGCAGAAGCTGGAGGATCAGGCACACGTAAAAGGAAGGGCACTGCAATGGATAAGGGAATACCTGACAGGGAGGCAGCAACGAGTCATGGTACGTGAAGAGGCATCACAGTGGGCGCCTGTTACGAGCGGGGTCCCACAGGGGTCAGTTCTAGGACCAGTGCTATTTTTGATATATGTGAACGACATGATGGAAGGAATAGACTCTGAAGTGTCCCTGTTCGCAGATGACGTGAAGTTGATGAGAAGAATTAAATCGGACGAGGATGAGGCAGGACTGCAAAGAGACCTGGAGAGGTGGACATGTGGTCCAGTAACTGGCTTCTCGAATTCAATCCAGCCAAATGCAAGTCATGAAGATTGGGGAGGGGCAAAGAAGACCGCAGACAGAGTATAGGCTAGGTGGACAAAGACTACAGACCTCACTCAGGGAGAAAGACCTTGGGGTGACCATAACACCGAGCACATCACCGGAGGCACACATCAACCAAATAACTGCTGCAGCATACGGGCGCCTGGCAAACCTGAGAACAGCGTTCCGATACCTTAATAAGGAATCGTTAAAGGACACTGTACACTGTGTATGTTAGGCCCATACTGGAGTATGCAGCACCAGTCTGGAACCCACACCTGGTCAAGCACGTCAAGAAGCTAGAGAAAGTACAAAGGTTTGCAACAAGGCTAGTCCCAGAGCTCAAGGGAATGTCGTACGAGGATAGGTTAAGGGAAATCGGACTGACGACACTGGAGGACAGAAGGGTCAGGGGAGACATGATAACGACATACAAGATGCTGCGGGGAATAGACAAGGTGGACAGAGATTGGATGTTCCAGAGAGGGGACACAGGGGCAAGGGGTCACAACTGGAAGCTGAAGACTCAGACGAGTCACAGGGACGTTAGGAAGTATTTCTTCAGTCATAGAGTTGTCAGCAAGTGGAATAGCCTAGCAAGTGAAGTAGTGGAGGCAGGAACCATACATAGTTTTAAGAAGAGGTATGACAAAGCTCAGGAAGCAGAGAGAGAGAGAGGACCCAGTAGCGATCAGTGAAGAGGCGGGGGCCAGGAGCTGAGTCTCGACCCCTGCAACCACAATTAGGTGAGTACACACACACACACACACACACACACACACACACACACACATCAACCACATAACTGCTGCAGCATATGGGCGCCTGGCAAACCTGAGAATAGCGTTCCGATACCTTATTAAGGAATCGTTCAAGACACTGTATACTGTGTACATCAGGCCCATACTGGAGTATGCAGCACCAGTTTGGAACCCACACCTGGTCAAGCACGTCAAGAAATTAGAGAAAGTGCAAAGGTTTGCAACAAGGCTAGTTCCAGAGCTAAGGGGTATGTCCTACGAAGAAAGGTTGAAGGAAATCGGACTGACGACACTGGAGGACAGGAGAGATATGAGGGATTTGATAACGACATATAAAATACTGAGAAGAATTGACAAGATGGACAGAGATAGGATGTTCCAGAGATGGGACACAGAAACAAGGGGTCACAACTGGAAGCTGAAAACTCAGACGAGTCACAGGGATGTTAAGAAGTATTTTTTCAGTCATAAAGTCGCCAGGAAGTGACATAGCCTAGCAAGTGATGTAGTGGAGGCAGGAACCATACATAGCTATAAGACGAGGTATGACAAAGCTCAGGAAGCAGAGAGAGGACCTAGTAGCGATCAGTGAAGAGGCGGGGCCAGGAGCTGAGTCTCGACCCCTGCAACCACAATTAGGTGAGTACACACACACAAACCAAATAACTGCTGCAGCATGTGGGCGCCTAGCAAACCTAAGAATAGCATTACAACATCTCAATAAGGAATCGTTCAGATCCCTGTAAACTGTGTGTGTCAGGCCTGTATTGGAGTATGCAGCACAAATTTGGAACCAACACCTGGCCAGGCACTTACGGAAATTAGAGAAAGTGCAAAGATATGTAACAAGACTAGTTCCGGAGCTAAGGGGCATGTCCTACAAGGAGAGGTTAAGGGAAATCGACCTGACGACACTGGAGGACAGGAGATATGAGGGATTTGATAACGACATATAAAATACTGAGAGGAATTGACAAGATGGACACAGACAGGATGTTCCAGAGATGGGGCACAACAACCAGGGGCCACAATTGAAAGTTGAAGATTCAGATAAACCACAGGGATGTTAGGAAGTATTTCTTCAGTTATAGAGTTGTCAGAAAGTGGAATAGTCTGGGAAGTGATGTAGTGGAGGCAGGATCCATACATAGCTTTAAGAAGAGGTATGATAAAGCTCATGGAGCAGGAAGAGTGACCTAGCGGCGATCAGTAAAGAGACGGGGCCAGAGCTATGAATCAACCTCTGCAACCACAAATAGGCGAGTACAAATAGGCGTGTACACATGGCCTCGTGGCGCAATGGTAGCGCGTCTGACTCCAGATCAGAAGGTTGGGTGTTCAAGTCACTCCGAGGTCATCCTTATGTACGTGCTTAAGCGCACATATACTAAAACTGGAACGATACAGAGAAGATTAGCAAGGCCCCTGTGCAAGGATGACATGCAAAATCGTGAACCGTTCTACATTTTTACCAGAGAAGAGGCGGGGCCAGGAGCTGTGACTCGATCAGATAGGCGGGTACAAACACAAAAATAAACACACACAGACACACATACACACTCACAAACACACACGTACAGGCAGATCCATATATAGCTTTAAGAAGAGGTATGATAAATCTCACGTAGCAGGGAGGGAGTGACCTAGTAGCAACCAGTGAAGGGGCCAGGAGTTATGACTCGACTCTTGGCTGTGACTCGACACCTGTAACCACAACTAGGTGGGTACACGCACACACGCCCACACGCCCACTAGGTAAGTACACATACACATATATGCACAGACATACACACATATATCAACCACATCAACCAGATAATTTCAGCAGAATATGGGTGCCTAGCAAGCCTAAGGATTGCATTCCGACATCTCAGTAAGGGATCTTTCAAAACTCTGTACACCGAGTACGTCAAGCCTATATTGGAGTTTCAGCACCAGTTTGGAACCCACACCTGGCCAAGCACGTCAGGAAATAAGAGAAAGTGCAAAGGTTTGCAACGATCAGAGGAGAGGTGAAGGGAAATCAACCTGACGACACTGGAGGACAGACAGGAAAGACAGGAGGGATGTGATAATTATAAAATATTGATAGGAATCGACAGAGTGAACAGAGACAGGATGTTCCAGAGATGTGACTCAGCAACAAGGGGACACAGCTGGAAGTTGAAGACACAGATGAATCACAGGGATGTTAGGAAGTTCTTCTTCAGTCATAAAGTGGTCAGGAGGTGGAATAGTCTGAAAAGTTATGTAGTGGAGGCAGGATCCATACATAGCTTTAAGAAAAGGTATGAAAAAGCTCATGGAGCAGAGTGACCAAGTAGCAACCAGTGAAGAGGCGGGGCCAAGAGCTGTGAATCGACCCCTGCACCCACAATTAGGTGAGTACACACACACACACACACACGATACGCACACACATACAAACGTACGTAAGCTTTACATTTTGTGTTAAGTAGTGAAAAGAATGGATTTCAGAGTGTAGGACGAAGAGTCAGGGGATCTGATGAAGAGTAGTCTGGGAATGAAGAATGGACAGCAGAGTTGTTCATTCCTAGGCTAGATGAGCCTAGGAATAAAAGGGAAGAGAGGATAGATGTAGAGAGCAAGAAATGGGGGCTACAAGCCGCACCTGCAGAAGATTTGATAAGGAGCTTAGAGGAAGAACTAAAAATGCTGAAACGGATTAAAGAACCAATGATCAGAATGGGCATAACATCTGGAACTGGAATATCGGCAACGAGCGAGGAGACTGAAGGAAGGGAAGGAGATAAGTCATACACAGAGGCCCTACACAGACTACTGGGGGCCTGGGAAACGACGAGGAGTGAAAACGGCAGGTCGATGGGTACAGGGGCAGCAGACAGAGGGGACTGAAGGAAGGGAAAGAGACAGGTCCCTTGCAAAGGCTTTATCAGACCATTGAAGGATCTAGAAAATGTTAAGGGAGATCCTTAAATCAAATCATGAGATAAGAGGGGATATGCAATGGGAAGATAAAGGGAAGGGTCAATTTTCATTCATGGGCTTCGGGAGGCCGAAGGGGCAACTTAGAAAGATGACAGTAGGAGGAAAAAGAGATTGAAAATATCATGAAAAATACAAGAGAGGAAGAAATGACCCAGCTAAAAAAAAAATCAGATAATACGGGATTCTCAAGGAAAAGAAGCCGCCTGGGTCAGAAACCGTTGAAGTCAGAAACGGTGCAAAAAAGGATCCTGCTTAAGAAAGCACGACTAAGGGGCTCAACAAATTATCAGCGGGTGTACTTCGACCACAACAGAAGACGAGAAGACAGAAACAGAGGGAGGATAATAGGTTAACACCCTTGACCAACACCTTGCCATGTACATTAGGAAATTGGAGAAAGTTCAGTGGTTTGCAACAAGTCTAGTCCCGGAGCTAAGTGGTATGTCCTAAGTTGGGTCACAGGGAAGTGAGGAAGTATTTCTTTGACCTTAGAATTGTCAGGAAGTGGAACAATCTGGAGAGTTAAGTGGTTGAGGCTGGATCCATATATAGCCTTAAGAATAGATACGACAGGTTTATTGTAGTCGGGGGACAGTTTACCCAGTAGCAACGAGCTACTAGGTAAACTGTGAGTCGACCCCTGAAACCTGATATAGGTGGGTATTCATGACACAAGGGATGAAAGTTGGAGAAATCCCTGTTAGCAGATAATGTGAAACTAATGAAGAGAATGTAAACAAGTGAAAACCAGAAAAGACTGAAAATAAACCTGCTCAGGCTGCAGGTCTTGTCTGACAAGTGACTACTGGAATTTACCCTCCCCCCCCCCCAACAAATGTAAACTTACAAAGATTCGGGAAGGTCAGAGAAGACCACAAATGAAGTACAGGCTCGGGAAAAAGGCAAAGGCTGCAAACGTCACTTGAGAAGGACCTCGGTGTGAGTATTGTATCGAACATATCCCCTGAAGCGCACAACTGAATAACTGCTGCAGCAAATGAGCATCCGGCAACTATAAGATTAGCTTTCAGAAATCTTAGCAACGAGTCATTCACGACACTGCATACAGTGGCAACGTTCAGGTATGAAGCAGCGGTATGCAATTCACACCTGGTCAAGCACTTCAGGAAATTAGAGAAACTGCAGAGGGTTGCCATGAGACTAGTCAAGGAGCTAAGCGTATTATGTCCTATGAGGAGAGAGTGAAGGAACTAAACCTGACGAGACTAGACGAAAGGACTAGGGGGGCTGTGATAACGTACAAAATATTGAGAGAAATTGGTGGGATGGACAGGGACAAATTACTCGAGAGACGGGGAACAAGAACACCAGGACACAGCTGGAAGTTCAAAACAGATGAATCGCAGGTATGTTAGGAAGTATTTCTTCAGCCATAGTATAGGCAGGAAATGGAATGACAAAGACAGTGATGTGTTAGAGGCAGGATCTGTACATAGCCAGGAGCGCTGTATAGCCTTTGTGGTTTAGCGCTTGTTTTTTATATTAATAATAATAATGTACATAGCCAAATGTTAGTAGCAGCCAGCGAAGAGGCGGAGAATGGAGCTGAGACTCGACCCCTGCAACCACACATAGGTGAGTATGATGGCATAATCAGTCCCGGAGCCTTGCAAAACTATACAAAGAAGACAGCACAGCGGATACCTCGTACATCTGATATACAAACCTCTGCTTAACTTTTGGGCTAGAGGTTAGCTAGCTCTTTTCAAGCTAATTCCTTCAAGCTAGTTTGCTAGTTCCTTTCTAACAAAATTATACTCAACATTCAATTTATTTAATGTTAGTTTAGCTACTTCCTCAACACTGCCAGGCTCCTGGTGGTCTAAGTGAGAGGGAATCCGCAATAGCTTCTCTGTAATCCATTTCTTAATAATTGTTGTGTATATATTTGCATAGTTTTATATGCCAACATAATACATTCAGGTCTCGGGCTATTTAGAGCAAGTAATAAGGAAAGAAAATCAGTAACAACTGCATTGTGCGCGACAGTAGTTTCCACAAACTTGAGATGATGATATTACAGACACGATCATGCAGGGAGCGAGTAAGTTCATGCAGGGAGCGAGTAAGTTCATGCAGGCAGCGAGTAAGTTCATTCAGGCAGCGAGTAAGTTCATGCAGGCAGCGAGTAAGATCACGCAGGCAGCGAGTAAGTTCATGCAGGCAAAGAGTGAGTTCATGCAGGCAGCGAGTAAGTGGTTTGCGAAGATGGCTTAAGCTCGTATCATAAAACTGGGTTGGCTTGATATCAACTAAGCTCGATGACTGGACAGCAGGACAATCAAATAATAAATAACTTTTTGCTAGTTCACAGTCATCTTCATACCCAGACTGTCTTGGCTTCACAGACTGGCTGGCTGGCACAAAACTCTCAGATTCTCGCTGAATGGCTGGTAAGAATGATTTACGGGCAAGCAGCAATTAATGACATCACTCAGGTCTTACTTGCTGTTCCTAAGAGATGGCTTGACAAGCCACATGTCTCCTGGTTTGTGAAACAATTAGTTGTGCCACCTGAGCGGCTAGTGTATTTTGCACCCCATGATCATCCTGTGAGCGGGAGCGGGATTACTAAAGTCACACTGGGTCTTTGTCAGCCCCTATTGAGCAGTGTTATATTGCTAGAAAGGAATATTAATCATTTTCGTATTTTACATTTACTTTACCTCTTCAAGGGGGGCTCCTTGGCGTGGTGAAGAGGCTCTTGGTCTGAGGAATTAGACCTGTCGGTCTCCTTCCTCAGACCGAACCTAATTACCCCCCAATCCCCCCTTCCCTATCCCATCCTCCCCTTTTTCCTTTCCTCCTCCTCCTCCCAACCCCTCCCTTTTGCCCTTCCTGTTTTGGCCTTTGGGATTTTTCCCACAAGCGTGCTAGTTCCTGGGTAGGGAAAAGGGTACCAGGGTCCATCCCATTCCATTGAGGTTCTTGGCGGTGGCGTAGTTTGCCGTGGAATCTGGATCGCCTGGGGATGTTTGGATCCCTGGAGCCACCGGAGGGTGGCTTTGGGTGTCTTTCGGGCGACGGGTGTATCTCTGGAAGCCACCTTTCGGATTCCGGGGGTGGTGGCCGAAGGAGGTATGCTTTGTGGCGGATATCCGGCCGCCCTCTCTTTTGTCCACCGAGGTAGCTCGGCAGATGTGAGGTTGCTATCTCGGATTGCTGGTTTACTGGCATGATGGGTAGGGTATGGCACGGGTTCCATGCTGCATCTGCGATACTTGCGGTGCTGAGGTCCTCTTGGGCACGGAGGGAGATTTCTGGTCCTTTCATTCCTCCTAGGAACTATCCCTCCACGGTCCCTCCCTTTCTTTATTCTTTTTTTTATTTTTATTTTCTTTTCTTCTTTCTTTTTTTTATCTTAAAAACAAAAAGAAAGAAGTAACCTAACCATGGAGTACCCGATCCATGACCCCACTACCCCCGGGCCCCTTATTGTTACCGCACCCCGTTCTGACCTCGCCTCATCTTTTGGCCAC